TTGCTAGGACTTTTTGATGGAAGTGGCAACGCCGCAATGCTGAAAATATTTTAGATCGATAGAACAGGTAAGGAAATGTGAGAGGTGAAATTTTCAGAAAAATCATGCTTTGCGTTTTCTAGAAACGTCTAACCTACCATCGACCGTGAGTCACGCTGTATAATTGAAGTTTGAGATTGCTTCTTGATTTCATCTCATTTTATTGGGTTATTTTAATGATTTTCACTGATTTTCATTACTTTCATTTTTGCCTTCTTTTCAGTAACCTAATCAAAATCACTAAACTTTCTTCATTTCAGGATTGAAATCTGCATAGCATATTATAGTGTTTTTCATTATTGGATTTTTGAAGTTATAGTTCGATTATAGGCGATTTCCTCGGTATGGAAAAATTGTATTTGTGGCAAGCTCAGTGTCAACCATGTGTTCGTATTCGATTCGCACCCTATTACTCCCTTGTAATGTTTTGCTTCTTAGTAATACTTAGCGTAGTGGACTTTGGTGCTCGTCCAGAACGATCGCAAACATTCCGTTCGAGATCATTGTGTTCACTTGAATTTTTCTGTATACGCAGCTGGGCTGATGGAGGTCATCATATATTCATCGCCGGACGATAAAAAGAAAAACCGTGGCTTCTGTTTTCTCGAATACGAATCCCACAAGGCGGCTTCTTTGGCGAAAAGAAGATTGGGCACCGGCCGCATAAAGGTTTGGGGTTGCGACATCATTGTAGACTGGGCCGATCCGCAAGAAGAACCTGACGCGCAGACTATGTCGAAAGTAAAAGTATTGTATGTGAGAAACTTGACGCAGGAAACTACCGAAGAAAAACTCAAGGAGGTGTTCGAGCTGTACGGAAAGGTCGAGAGGGTCAAAAAGATCAAAGACTACGCTTTTATACATTTCGAAGATAGAGACAATGCCGTTAAGGTGATACTTTCGATGGGATTCGATGTTCCTGGAACTCAATTTTCGTTCAATGTCTTTGATAATATTTTTCGATTTTCAACAAATCCAATAATGAAGCATTTGCATTTACACACATCGGAAAAGTCTAGGGATATTTTTATAACTTACTAAATATCATAAAAATAAATGCATGAGGTCGTTTAATTTCGATTAAATTGGTACACTCGACCACCCTGTAGATTTCTATGGGTTGAACAAAGCCTGCAAAAACGGTAACTAATCTTTTATCAAGTTTTTTACAAACTGTAGGTTTTCGGCTAAAATGAATAATCTGAAAGTGTCGAGTTTNTCAGTATTTTTGACCATTTAATAAATTTTGTTGTAAGTTACATTCGTTTAATAATCACCCGTCAACTTTTTTTTCCCTAACGCGATCTAAAAAAAATTATTGCCATTTTTAAAAATATCCCTAGACTTTTCCGATGTGTGTATAAGTAAGAAACGATTCATTCTGGTTTCATTTTCTCAAAGTATACTTCTTTGATATGAATATACGAATCAAATTGAGTTCCAGGCCAGTGATATATTCTAAAATGAAGTGGTAGTTGTATGTCCGATCATTGAAATTGATTTTATCGTTAGGCAATGGAAGAATTGGACTCGAAGGAAATGGGCGGGTCCCATATCGAAGTTTCGTTAGCCAAACCACCATCTGACAAGAAAAAGAAGGAAGAAATATTGAGAGCGCGTGAAAGACGAATGATGCAGATGATGCAAGTTAGGGGAGGGTATGTTTATATGCATTCATTTGATTTAGTTTTTAGATAGAGCTTTCAAAATCAATAGCGACTAACGAAGTCATTCAACTAGCTACTCAAATCATTTTGGTAATAATTCAAACTAAGGCATATGGAGATAGATAGATAGACATATACTTTATTGTCCAAGAAAATACAATCTCATTGACAGAGCTTGTTAAAAAATCTGTTATATATAGCACTTCAAAGAATAAAAGAAAAGAAACAATTCAAAAACACAAATACCAGAAACACAATTCAAGCAAAACTAAGTTCACATATCTAATAGATAAAATATAACAATAGAAAATGAAATTTAACAAAATGTAGACAAAATAGTTTGTATAGTCCCTTTCAAAAGATGTAAATAACAATTGAAAATTAGTTGTTTCATTCATTCTGTTAGAAAAAATCACAAACATTCGAATTTGAATTTCAACCCTTGATTATAATTCAGGAAAAGCAGCTGAAGATTCTGTTTTTGTTCTATAGATTCCACTTTATAGGTATTCACACTAGAGTAAATCAAGGGGTGTCAAATTTGGTGTCTTTGGAGGCCGTTTAATTCTGTTTCTTCTCTGTCAGTCAAGGTATAATGTGGTATAATTCCTGTTATTTTTGTTGGTGTACGTAAAAAGTACATTCCATGGAACTCGAGCAGCGTCTTATGAGATTTGTGTTGTAGAATCGGCGATGAGTGTCGTTTGAATTTCTGTAGAATGTTTTTTTTCTGATTGATTTGGCCGTTACTTGATGAAGATCCATAGTAATTTCATAACCTACACAGTGATTCAAATCACTGTTGATAAAGCTACTGTGTTAGCGAAACATGTCGTGATATATATTCGGTTAATGAATACAAAGCCTTTTAGGTATTCTGAAGACTCACATGAAAATGAAAAATCTTGGAAAATGTCTTCAGCAGGAATTTCATTTCAATTCAGTTTAGAAAAAGATTTAGACATTTTCAGTGGGTAATATTTTGTTGGGGTTATTCAGATTTTTGTTTTATAACATAATTTGTGCATTTATCTTTATCAAAAGGTAATTTACAGCAGTTTTTTTCTTCACACTAACTCATGCCTATACGATTAATTCTCAATGTATTTTTAATGCGCTTTTAATAATGCAGTATACAAAGTAATTTTTTTTCTCCCAACCTTTACTGCATTATCAATTTCCGCTTTTTACCATTTAAGGTTATGTTCCAATATGATAAGAATTTAACACAAATAATCAATAACAGAACCTTTTTAGCACTAACATTAACCTCAGTTGGTATGTGTATCACTTCTTCATTGTAAATGTTTTTGAATTAGCCGATGAAGATCTGACTGCAAGTCGAAGAAGAACTACATTTATTTTAAATGATTATTTTGTATATTAATGAATTCTGAAGTTTATTCCAGGTCTGAAAGAAAGTAATTTGATACATAGTAGTGCTTGTTTCTGTTATTTTAGATTACTATAGTAGTAATTAACATAAAGCAGTAGCAAAGTTTGAAGATATGGTTTGTCTGTAGCGAAAGGTTCACTTTCTCATGTTGAAATTAGTATGCGTCTGTGTAAGGGTGTGGTTCGAATGGATAGCCGGGGGCACCGCAGCAAGTCAAAAGGCATTGTAAAGCATTGCACGCGCCTCCGACTTTAACATGCATGTGTAACTTTCTCTTTATTTTCTCACAACTTTGTTGTTTTGAAATAATATTTCGCTTGCAGCCAGGAGCATCGGGTAAGTATGTGCTGTGGTGTAGGGACTCTTTATTTAATTTTTGTGTATAAGGTATGGTTAAGACGGGTATTTAGAATGGTAGTTTTGTTGCTGATCAAATTTTCGAGATTGCCACGTGAAATCGGGGGCATTTTGGTAATGTTTCTTTATTTGCTTCCGTTATTTAGCACCTTCAAAGGTAGTAATTCAAACATCGTGATTGAATAAGTGTATAAGGATTACATATTTAAAAAGAAACCTTCGATGTGAGATGTTAAGTTGAAAGCTTACAAAAGCGCGACACGTGTTTCGCTATACAATAGCATCTTCAGGCGTCACAATACTGTATTATTGTATTACAGTATTGTCGCCTGAAGATGCTATTGTATAGCAAAACAAGTGTCGCGGTTTTGCAAACTTTAAAGTGGAAATCCCGATATACAGTGTTTTTTTATCAAGTATTGGTCAGTTTCAGTATCAAGTTTGCTTTTTTATTCTGGGATTATTATTAACGATTGTGTCAGAAATTCATTATAAATTCACCTTCTATAATTATGTATTCCAACCTGACATTTTTTTTATTTTCTTCTTCTTCTTTTTTTATGGTCTTGACTTGTCTTACGGCGCAGTAGACCAAACAAATTATTTTGATAGGGTTAAAATCAGAACATAATTGACGGTTGGTAAAACAAAAGAAAGAAGATTGTAGATTCAGTAATGACTAGGGATTTTTTTGGTTTATATTCATACATTCATAAGTCAATACTTGACTTGCCATTCTGAATAACCCACTTGACCTCTAGAATCTATTAAGTATATAAAATGAAAGTATTATATGTTTGAAAATTCTAATATGTAGTATTCATAGAAGTATTGTTATGTGGTAAGAAGCTGAAGAGATTCTGGCGAGAATTGTTACTTGACTCTTTTCCCGGCATGCTATTTGTAGTAATTCTCTCTCCAGGCAATCCAGTTGGATTTTTAGTTGGCTAAATTGGGACTTATTGTCTTTTTATAGATTACGATTACGACTATTACGGTTACGGGGACTATAGAGGCGGCTACAGTGATCCCTATTATGATGACTTTTACCGGTATGAAGATTACTATTACGATTATCAGCCGGCCCCGACGCAAGCGAGAGGAAGGGGTCGGCAACCAGCATCGGTATGGGTCGAAGTCAAATTTTTTTTGTTTTCAATCAAAGTACAGTCAATGGAGAATCGATTGAGCTCGATGAAGGGAAAAGTTTTACTCGAACTGATTATCGCTACAAATTGTCGAGATAATGTAATGGCGTAGAAAACAATTCCGGGATCCTTTCGAAACTGAATTTTTGGCAGTTAATTATTAACTTTGTGACTAAATCAAGGATGGGGTGCTTTCGAAGGATAGGAATAAACCTTTTGCATTATACATAATTTTTGTACGTGCAATCGGATCTGGTGAAATTTTTACCGTTATCGTTCCCCATCGTGACTGTATCATTTTTTTATTGATCTAATGCGGTAGTTTGATTGTGGCACAGTGTCGGCTTGACTAATACAATGAGCTGCACTTAACCCAACATAACCTAACCCTAACAGCCCGATTTATATCCGCTTGCACGTGTTTCTCGAAAAACCAACTAATGATACACTTGCCACATTCAAAAATACCATCATATCTGAGCCAACTTCAAAATTGAGAGCCGCCGGGAAAAGTGCGACGAGAAACACAAACACATACACGCTATGAGTCAATTGACACACGACACATGATGATGGGTCATTGACAGGAAAAGAAATGATAGCAATAGATTAATTGTGAATTTAGGCCAGCCGCTGGTGGCTGGCTCAGATATGATGTGCTCTTAGTTGCAGGGTTATCCAAAAGAGGGGAGAGGGACGATTTTCGAAGCCGCCACGCCGAAACACTAACCTCACAAGATGGACTCGTACGTGACAAAGGTGTTTTAGTGCATTTTCAAAAACCGTTTCGGGAGAGTACAGACATATATCGTTCAAGTAGAAAACTTTACGGGAACCCATTAGTTTTGAAATTTTCTTTTTTCTCATTTGTATTTTTTTTTACTGCTCCTCTTGTCTTTTATTTGAGAGACTTATCTATTTATTGTCTCACATTTCCTTCAAAAAGCGGACCTTGGATTCACCGTCGATATCCAAATAGCAATAGGGGATTCCCTGTAATGTTGCTAATCTAGTGTTTTTCGTGTGTGCTTTGGAAACCCAAATTCGATAATTTTTACTCTCATTCAGTAATAAATTTGATAGTGTAATATCAGTAACCAATCATCTATTATACTCTGTCCATCTAAGCAACAGAGTGATACAAAATATTATCATGATCTCCCAGACAAGGCTGCTTGTACAGAGTCGCACTAAGAAACAAACGAAATTTTATTAATTTTTTTAAAATAATATGCGGCAGAGTATTTGAGAGTATAGTAAAAACTTTAGGTGGAGTGTAGGGACACAAATTAGCAGTTTTTTTCAGCCTTATCAGTACTTACCGTATACGCACACACCAAAGGCGTTAAAACGTAACTGACCACTCCAACACTGTAACAATGAATTCCGCCAGCCGATTGCAGTTAAATCTGATTGGCCAGCGTGAGGAGGCTTGTTTATTTCACCCAATAGATGCAAATGTGCGGGTTGATCATGTTCTGATCACGTATATATCTTTGTTTGCGTTGCTTCGTTTGTTGGATGGATATAGTTTAGGTTTGTAATTTTCACTCTATAGGAACATAAAGAAGTACCTAATTTTCATGAGGTTATGTTAGCCTCTTTACTTTCATTGAATTCATTTGATGGGTATTGAAAAAATTGTGGGCTATAAGTATTTCCAAAATTGAGGTGTTGTTGTACTTCAAGTTATTTGATAATTATTGGATCATTCTGTGTTTAAAAACCTTATCTTAGTTTATATTTGACATTTCGTGTTCCTGGTGCCTGGTAGTAACCGTTTCTGTCTGAATTTTGAACCACTTTCTCTCAAAATTCGAAAAATGAAGCAGTGTTATGTTACAAAAAAGAAATCAATACCAGACAACAAAAAAACAAAAAAAAAATATCACTGAACAATACCATAGACATATTAAATTAGGTTAGGCCCTTCGACCGTTCACCGCGACCCTTCGGCTCTGCCGAACTCTAAAAACCTGATTCGATTCCCAGCGGGGCAGGCACAAAGTATGTGCTCTGCTGTTTCATCATTCTCCAAACAGAGGCGACACGACACACACTGTCTTCCGACAGTCCGAGGCTCTGCATATGATGATTCAAATGACAGTGACTTGTAAGAAGGTCTGTTAGACATCGTAGTTCATCCCTACTGTAGTACAACTATTGTTTGGCTTCGAACAGCTTCGAAGGGTGAATAAACGCCTTGGAGTGAGTCAATCCTGGAAGATTCCGCCAGAAGTCTATAAATCTTGCCATCCAGGTGTTCAATCTTTGTTTGGCAAAGCCTAAAGCGATGCCAATTAAGCCGATTAAGCTGCTTGCAGCAGCCCTTTGTAAGAGAGTCAGCAGCCCATACATATATAATAACCAAGTTATATCCATGTAATAACTTTGATATAATTACACTTTAATTTTTGAATTAATTATAGCCCAAGGTATTTTCTCCAAATATTCAGCTATAATTAGAAAACTATGAAGCTAGGGAAGTTGCAATCGATATTTACAAGACCCAATAAAGAATTTATTATCGATTGAGAATGAAAATAATCGAATTTGAGTTATTGAGGTTTCACACAAAAAAACCTAGGTTGGCACTATTGAAAGAACTAATCCATTGTAGGTACATACACTTCAGTCAGTATTAATAAGTTTCAACTCAAAATTTGGTATTGAGTTTCTTTGTTACTTCCATTCAACTTTTTGTCGAAGCTCTCAAATTCACTTATGCTTAATTTGAAATCATTGATGTTTCATGTGAATAATATTGTTCATCAATTTATATTTATCATTAATGCCTTGATTTATTTTTACAAAATCTTATATTGTGATTGTGATTATTACAATTAGTACAATTCCAGCTTATTCTGTTCAAGATTAACATATATTATGACGTTCAACATGGTGTAAAAAAACTTACTCTAGTTCATCCCACTCCTGACGTACATTTATATTTGAGTTTGACGAAAATAATTGAAATTAATTGTTTTAGTAGTTCCAATATGACCAAACTTAGTTAAAAAGGGGTCTTACATTAATATTAGGTGGAAAACTAGGTTGAGACGAGCCAAAACGATACATATTCTTATGGGGAGCCCGTTTCTGAAATGGCACTATCGAAGCATTATCGTCGAGTCCATCGATTTTCAAACTTTTTTTTTTTAAGTTGCTTATTACCGCAAAGTGTCTAGGAAACTGCCAGCTTGAGTGTCTGTCAATGTGTGTCACAGCCAATGTTGTCCATTGATGAATATATTTTTAGGCGCTTTTTGTCTTATGTGCTTTTGCTTATCTAGTGCTTTTTTTAGAGAGCTTTGCTTTTGCTTTTTTGCTTGGCTTTGATTGCTCTAGGCAATCGAAAAGCTATGTGTTTTTTTGGCCAAGCTTTTTACACAACAATATTGTATTTTTTGGATAACCCTTTTTCTAGAGCTTCCGCATCGATAGTTATAAGGAAGGAGAGTAGCTGAGGGAGATTAACCAAGGAGAGGACAAGCTATCTTTGAATAGACAAGGTCAGAGGTATGGTCGACTAGGTTGAAGAGATTATTTTCAGTGGTATGGTATGTTTGGCAGTCAAATTTGAAAAGAATCTATAATGTTTTCTCTTCATGAAAAAAAAATCAATCAGATTAATGGAGCAAAGTATCTATTGTGATGTCGGAGAAGGAAATTTTCTGAAAGTAAATAAGGTTGGTTCTGTTCTTGAATGAAAATGGTCATGAAATAAAATTATCCATAAAAATTCAACAATATTAAAATGAAAAATAATCGATTATTTTCGAGGAGAGCCTTTAAATTTTTTTAAATACTGTGACTTACAATAAAATAAATTTTAAGTCGTTTAGAACTGCGGTTACATAGTAATTACTCAATGTCCTAGATTGATGACCATATAAAAGATCAATTCACATTTTTCCTGTCATCCACGTTTGTGAAAGATATTGCCAACCAGCCGATTATTAAGCGGTTTTAAAAAAACATTCAGAAACATTTTTCAGAATATTCAACGAAAGTAATTTTTTTGTGAAGGAAAATCAGTTTTTTATCGACCTTTTTTGGGTATTTGTTACCTTCCACAATCTGAAAAATATGAAAAAATAATATAAAAACATTTTTATTTTCAGAAATAAAAGCACGAAATATTTCACTTGTTACTGTCAACTGTCAGCTGTCTTGTCACTGATGATGACGTAAACTAGTGATATTTCATTCAATTATCGACACGTATCAATTGCAAATAATTGGATTATTGAAATCTTTCGATTATTTCCATGGCTAGAATCGAGTAAACTATTTTGAGAATATAAAAAAAAGATATTGGATGAATAACTCATATTTCAAATATTTAGTATTCGAAAATTGAAAAAATGGAAATGAATACCAAAAATTGCTGAAATTTTTATTTAGATATTTATTTCTGGTATCATAGAGGCGATTACTGTAATTTAATCTTTTTTTTCAAATACACATTTAAATCTCCCAAATTCAAATACTTATCATTTGCTTTTTTCCTTTCTTTGGTAGATTGCCACATTTTTTATACAAAAATGGAGAAGTAGAAAGCCAAAACCTTTTTTTTCAATTTCAGTTGTTTCTAAGAATTTCTCAAAAAAATATGAGCAATATTTGGAGAAAAGTGTAAATTGAATCGAATTGAAATATTTCGTCAAAAGTGGATGGCTTTTGTTGATCATTATGATTTCTATAAAAATATCATGAAGTCGATGGTTCATGAATTACTAGTGAAAGGCATGTAAACCAATAAATCGACTGTTATTTCAATTTGAGCAACATGCTTGAAATATTTGAGTATTTCTTTATAAGTTACAAAATATTTTCATACGAAATCGAGTTTAGTTGTAGCTTTCACAAAATTTATAAACAATGATAGTTTTGAAGTATTTCGAAGTATAAAACTAAAATCAGTACTACTGCCCAGAGGAATATACTTGAATGTAGTTGTTTCAATAGTTTCGCCTACTTTGTAATACTTTGTAATAAATCGTCTTTATTCATCTTTGAACACATATGTAAAGAGATAACAATAATAGGTATTCGACAAAGATAAAGTGGCCAAGTGTCACCTGTAGGTGTTTTTCAAATAGGTTGTAGGCAGGTAACTTCGCGTTTTATAGTGTTTATTCTAGATCAGGGATCGGGAGGGAACCTTTCAGTCCGGTCCTAGCGGCCAAAGTGGAGGCTGATCGTACCCCCGCGATTTTTGTCTAGCATTATTTTTCTGTTAGGGAAATAAAAATAATTACGAATCTTGATTTAAAAGGTTACTTTCTCGTGTATATTTCTTATACGCGAAAGAGTTCCTCCGGGTGTCAAGGGGACTTCCCGGCTCTGGTCTTGTGGGCGTCGACGAAAGGACCTACTTGCCTGGCCGGGCATGAAAAAAGTCGACACAGTGAGAAAATGAACGACGACTTTCATTTTCAAACAACGCCGAGTCGCCCCTGACCGATATGTCGGCCAGCGAAAACACACATGCCATCACCGCAAAAGGAATGCAGTCGGCAACCGCCGATAAAACTTTTCTTGAGTACCGAAACGACTACAGAATTCTAGAACGATCGTTACCGATATATAAGGCCGGCTTCTCGTCCCAAGAGGACAGTTGAGTTCAGAAAGTGAATCGAGCGGTTAAACCAGGAATTCAAATAGTGGAAATAAATCAAGCGTTAGTTGCTAAGTGTTGTAAGTTTGTGATAGTGAAATATTGTTGGAAATAAATTTGTTTAAGACAGTTAAATCTTTAAATTGTTACAATATGTTTTGAACCATCAAAAACCGAGTGAGAGATGCCCAGTTCTTCCGCCATCCCACGTACCGTTTTTGGTGGGTCAGTCTCTAACAGGGTCCTCAAATCCTCGTTCTGGATTTCCGTAGATCGACCATTTTGGGACACATCTTCGAGGCTAAAATCTCCGGAACGAGATTTCACAAACCAACGTCAAACAGTGCGTTTATTACCACTGTCATTGTCAAATGCCTCGTTAATTTTTCGGGATGTTTCGGCAGTATATAATACAAAATTCTCTAACGATCACGACACAGTATGCCACGACACAGTAGAATGAATATTTATTTAACAGGCTAAGCTTCTGAAACAACGTAATGATATGATTCATTTAGATTTTCAAGTGAAACATCTTGGATATACTACTTAATTTTACCTGCTTCTTTGATATATGAGACTTAGTAGCAGAAGTCAACCCATTCAATATATGTCCCTTGAAAAGCTAGATGAAACCTCATTGTTAGAGGTTCGAACTTGGATTGTTAAAATCCTAACGTATTTGAAATTGATGATGAGAAAACAAATTGATGAAATAACAAAATATTTAAATGAGTTACTCTGACAAAAAATATCGATAAATGAAAAAGAACGAATAGAAAGAACGCTAATAGGTTAAGAAAACTAATAATTTTGACTAGAATTGGAAATTATTAACGAATGAGATAAACAATAAATAAAACGAAAGAATAAAGTAAAAGAGATTATTAAAAAAAAGATTTCCTGACATATTATGATAAATATTATATTTTCAGGTTTCAATATAGGTAATTTTTTGTGAAAAAAAGTAATTGACTGTCGTATGGATATTCGCGCTTGCTGTTCACTCATAATTATGTCTGGAAAATATTCTTCATAACGACATTATTTTAATCGGTGGCGAAGTGAACTGCATGATAATCAAATTATAATACTTTTATAGAAAATTATATTCTTGTCGACCATACCATGACCGTTGATTTTTATCTGTACTTCATTAAAATATACTGCTTCCTGTGTATCTTCGATTAATCTCCCCAAGTAGTGTGTTGTACACTCAGCCTCAGCGTTTGAAACAAGTACAAATTGGAGTAAATAGTGCAACACACATATATTCTCTAAATATGTATGATATATTTTTATACGAGTGTTATGAGGGCTTTAACAAGGTGTTTTCCCAAGAAAATCTGAAATGAAATGCTTCCTAATAAATGAATTCTCGAGTGGATACAATCGATTTATGAATAGATTAAGAATTTCTTGGGAGAACGCTGCCAGTGCTAAGTGTTTTTACCATGAATATGGTACTGATGCAAAACTGACACTTAGGAACTGGATGAAGGAGTCACGTCAGGTGTTTACTACGAAGTTAGCAGTGGAACACAGGTTTGTTGTCCTTTCTACCAAAATCGGTGTTGACCATTATAACACCCGACCTTTCCCCCCCAGAATTTCCCAGGTAACCTAAGCTAAGACATGCAATATCATGGTACTTTCCCCCAAATACACAGTGATGTAGTATCAAGTTGATCGCTCTTGTAGAATACCTAACAATAATTGCAAATGGAAATTGACAAGTCAAAAAAAACCACGGTTCATTTTATTTGGTTAAGGTTCATTTGTGTATGAAAAGTTGATCAGCTGGTTATTATACGCAGTCTGAGTCTGTTGTGTGGTTTTTTCACTTAACAATGCTTAATACAATAATCTTTTTACGTTGCATTCATTTTATTTTTTGTACCGTTCCAAAGGAAAGTATTATGATTGTAAATTTAGGGCATATTATGTAATGGTGTGTATCCAATTTTTATTTTCCATCCAGAATACACGGAAGAACTTGGGAGAAATTTTGATATCTTCATAGATAGATTCTGGTCAAGTTTTTCCGTACCTAAAACTAGCCCATTACATAATACTGTGAGTTCATGAATCTACATCCTTTCTCCCAATTTGAACCCAAGTACCTACCAAACCAAAATGCCTCCTTCAAGAAAGGATCCTCATTGAATGTATTCTGAAAATTATTTCAATTATTCCTGAAAATGTCAAGTGTTAATATCGTGCTGGACCCCGATATGTTTTTCGGTTGAATCGGATTTAGACTCCTTCATTTTAGTTGCTTACCAATGAGATGAACTGTCAAGGATATCCTAAAACTGTTTAATTATTTTAGCGTTCCTTGAAACCAATTTATTAATAATAATCCAGAAATGTACCAAGAATGTATAAAAGTCAATTTTTAATGTAAGTACATTATTTTCTAAATAATGTGGGTAATGTTAAGATTGTGATTAAAATTTAATACCCTGTTTTTGCAGAATAACACTATGAGCTCAAATGAACCAAGTATTGTTCAAAGAAACATTGTTTTTTTTTCTCGATTGAAATGACGTTTGAGTCTCATTGTTGAAAACTATTCTGTCAAGAGTAGCGGTTGACTCACGGAAAAATCCGAATAGAGATGCCACATGCTACTAAAAACGAATTAATGCTTTGCTTCAAAGTTGATATCACATTTACTTTGCCAGCAAAAAAAAAAGCTCGGCATGGTTTACTAACCTTAAAAGATATACTACTAAATCGTTTCAACCGAAATCGCGCCTACTTTGATTGGCAAATATACCTTGATTCCGTCATTACTTGGAAAAAATTATGCTTATTAGATACAAATTGACAGTAATTCAAGAAGGCTTGAATATCGAATTTGAATTAACTTTTATTTTGGTACATACCGAGGAATAATCATCTCAGTAATTGAATAATCAACTCAGTAATTGAATTTGTCATTAAAAAAATTAATACAAAGTGGATATGTGCTTTCATAAATTACTGAAGTAAATGCTTTCTTGTGAAATTTGGCTTTGATTCATTTATATTTTCTGAATTCAAGGTAAATTTGCAATCCTAAATTCACCTTTCCTTGCCTTTTTAGATGGTATTGGTAGAAAGGATTAAATAATACTTGATGTGAACTGAAACTGTGTTCCTTTATATTTTTTGTGTTTTTTCGACTTTTTTCATTTCATTATGGATATTGCTCGATTTCAGTTACATTCCCAGTGGTATGTTCATTCATTTTGATTTAACGAATCTCGCATTGACTCATTGTCATTTTTTTAAGTGGTGATCTTGAAAATGTAAATATTCACTTTTGCAGTTGGCATAAATGTTCATTTGATTTTAGTTGGGAATGGATGGAATGGTCTTGGGTTATTAATAAATATCTCTTCGTTCCCCTAAAAATAATTTCAGTAACCATGTAGATGATCTTATGTAATTATAAGTATCAATACCTTTTGGCATTATAATTATTCACGAACATCAAATTATGTTTCACGAACATCAAATGATGTTTGTGAGAATATTAGTAATTAACATATTTGCTTCATTTATTATTCACTTCTTTAAAAAGAATACAGGCTTGTATAAAATATAGTTCAGAGCTAGCTCTTCCATGTGTGAATGGCATCTAAGGATCAATATAAAACTCGAATGCCGTCATCAGAAATTAACTGAAATCTCTGACAGATCTATTGGGGACTTGATTTGTGTATCTGCATTCAGAGTTGGTTTGAGTTTCCTGCCGAAACTGTCAAATGATAGTGATAGGTCATCAGTTGCCAAATTTGGACTTTGTACAGTTAGTTTTCTTTGATTACCCAGTACAAGCTATCACCCAAATAAACAATTTCGTTGATTGAATGCAAAATTCAATTGTTTTGTCTTCACTTTTCACTTACAGAAGAAAATGATGATATATAAAACAATGTGTTTTATCTCGTCAGATATTGATGATGCATATACAATGATTCGTTGCCCAATTACTTATTAGTTTAAAATGGGAATTCTATGTTGCCATTACCAATTAACATATCAATGATTGAAATTTGAAATTAAAGTTCGTCGATAATGACGACAATTAAAATCAGTAATTTTCAAGTACTTCACACACAATTTCCAGTTTCAAGATCGCTGCTTAACAAATTTATCAAGCAATGTTATAATAATTGGAGAGTATAACCATTGTGAATGTTTCTTGCAATACTTTTGTCGCTTTCGTAGTAATTTTTCGTTAATAACCGTTCTGGTTACGTTTTTGGTATAGGCTGGCCGTGGGCGTGGGGTGGTGGCACGTGGCCGGGCCGGTGGCCCCCCAGCCCGTGGGGCGGCAGCCAACAGAGCGGGCCGGGGAGGAGCAGCAGGGGCCCGTGGGGCAGCACGCCAAGCCGCTCGTGGAGTGGGCCGCGCCAAGGCAAGTTTACCAGGTGAGTTGTCTTCGGAACTATTTTAATACTTCAAAAATTATCAAAACATTTCGTTTGAATACGAGTATTGCCGTAATCTAAGTTTTGTCACTTAAAATACTTAGGAGTACAATTACCAATTTCAATTATGAGAAATACTTGGAATCTATTTCTTCTTTCTTCACGAATCCAATAGAAACTAAATTTCGTGTTCCCGATTCATAAACTGTATCCTAAGGCATCCTGATTAACTTGGAAACTACTCTAGATATGCAAGAGAGAAATTCAACTGATCTTTTGATTCCATCAATGTAACTTCACTACCACTTTAGACAAATTTTGTTAATCTTGAGAAGCAACCAACATACCTTCTGTCATATGGTATTGAAATTTTTGAAAAAGTCTCTAGTGCTCAACACAATTGCCTTATTGGTTACTATGTTGTGAAGCGCGTTCCTAAATTTATACCATTTAATAAAACGTATTCATTTAATTTATTTTATTCCATAAACATAACATGTTGAATAAAACCTCAATTAATTATTTAACAAATGCGACACTTTATTTGACTCGTTTCTTCCAGCTTGAATTTTCAAATTAATCAGAACAATAACTATGCACTATGCGCGGTTTTGCATCTCTCTTACAGTCACGTTAAGTATCGCACATAAAAACTAATCATGGCCTGCGTGGCGGAGCAGCCATTCACCAGTCTTGTAACAACCACAATCAACTTATGTAACTCCGACTTAGTTGTTTTCAGTATTGAAATAAAGTACTTCACAAGAAAAACTACTACTCTTTTAAATTGATCAACGTTAGAGATCCCTGTATGGCATAATCCTAATATAAATCTGGTGTCAGGTGTGGGGTTTCAAAAAAGAGCTAGTGTTCCAAAAAGTAAAGTACAAGTGTTTCTACTCTGCAAGGCAAACTGCAGTGCGTTTCTGTTTAACCGAAGTCGATGTCCAAAAAGGCGTATACCAGTTCATTCTGAGAGTAAAACCAAGATATTGTGTCAGTTTATTACTTTTAAAGATCTATTTCTAATCTGACAAGTTAATTTCTCCCATCTGTATTTTAAACAAAAATTAATTGCTTTTGTTTGTTGTTTCATGAAAGTCAGTGAAACGAAGCAGTGAATTCAGTGCTGCAGAATATTCTTTCAATCAGTGTAATTTCATTACTGGAGTGTTATATACATTGAGTTCATTTTAGAATTGGAAATACATTTTTTAATAGCGTCACAATACTTGTATTGTGACGCCCTATTGTATAGCGGAATATGCCATTGTATAGCGAAATATGCTATTATATAGCGACATATGCTATTGTATAGCGAAATATGCTATCGTATAGCGAAACACTTCTCTCGGTTTTGTAAACTTTTAAATGGAAATCTTTCATTTAATACGTTGAAGAAACAAGTATTCATTATAACCTTACAATGAATGGATGTCACCAGAAAACGAATCCATTGTCGAATCAAGTTTTTTATGGGAAAAATGTTGATTATTAAACTTGAAAGTTTTAAAGAATGTGAAATAAGAATGAAGGTGATATGGTGAATGAATACATGTGTTTTTTCTATAGTTTACATTGTGCAAAAAGAGGGCTGCAGGCTGAACTTTGGAGGGCCTTATCACTGCAAATTTTACCAAGAAATGTTTTCATCATTTCATTCAGTATCACTCTATTTGAGTCATAGTTTTATTTGGTCTCCATAAATGAATAATAGACTAACTAAAGAACCATGTCTCTAACATTAATAGTCCAGTTGACCGATCTTTTTTCTCATATCTTCAACTCTCCTTTTCACGCTTATTATTTTCTAGACATTTTCAGGACAAGGATGCGTCTAATGAAGTGTATCGAATATATTTTATAGAATTCATTTACCGATGTCATGTTAACAGAATTCAGTTTTTTTCACTGTTACTTTAGAAACAATGCAATTAATTAGTAAACTTCAGTTATTGTTATCATGTTGATAACTGTCAATATATTTTCCTTAGTAATAGTACAACTAAGAAAAACTTGATGGGCAGGGGCTGATTATCACAAAAATAGTTTTTAGACCAAATTTCACATGAGAATTTATACTTTTGTCGTTACACAAAGTTGAAACAATTCATAACAGTGAATGATGTTCAAATCATATTGAAAAGAGAAAAATTAAAGTGACTATATCCGACTGAACTTTTTCTTTGATAAACTACAGATAATGCGAATTTACATTGGAATAAAAAAAAATTAAGTAAGGCCAGTAATTTTCCGGACTCTTCAAAAAATAATCAATCGCAAAAGCAATTTAAATATTTCAATCGTATTTTCGCTTTCGCTAATGTATTGTATGAAATGTTTTTATCATAAATCAAAATAAGTCTGAAGATTGTATCGAGGAGAGAAACATATGTATAAGAAAATAAATATTTCGAAATGGAATTTTGAATATTCATCTCTCCCAACGTACGTACACAGTAGGTAGTAGATGCCTGCCGAAGAACAACTACTTCCCTGGCTAATACTACGCTGGACATTGAATTACATCCGACAGGCATTTATGTAAACAGAGGATAGTCTTGTAGATGTTTCTCGTTCGTCCAATTGTAGGAGTACGCAGGAATCAATAGAGTAGGTCATGTACTGACCGGTTCGATATATTACTTCTCATCTTATAGCGGGGAAAGTAGTTATTTTTCGGTAAGCATTTACCAGGACTTACTGTGTAGGTACGTTGGGAAACAATTGTTTTGAGATTTCATTTCGGAATATCCATTTTTCTCATAGTTTTCATCATTTCTAGAACCAAATTTCTCATCAAATACTAAATGCTAAAACTAAAAAGATTAGTACAACAATATACCTCGTATTTCATGAATACTTTTTGTCTTTTCCCAAATTGTGTCTAAGTTATGCATTTCTGGACAATTTCTTAGTTAGGACGATGTGCACGGAGAGATTGGATTCCCGGACAGTCAAGCGGCGTTGGAAGCTCTTGGCTCCTACCGAGCAACGTCTAAATTGGTAGCAAACTGCCAAAAAAGACTCTCCTCGATAGAAAGACTAAACAGATTGTCTCTGGTCTGGATTCCTGGCCATACTGGCCTGGAAGGCAATGAAGCTGCTGACTCTCTTGCAAAGGAGGGTGCTGCAAGTGGCTTCATTGGACCAGAACCTGTCATTGGCATCGCTTTGGGCTTTGCCAAACAAACACTGAACACCTGGATAGCAAGAAGATTTATGGACTTCTGGCAGAACCTTCCAGGATTGTTGGACTACAGTAGGGATGAACTACGATGTCTAACAGGCCTTCTTACAGGTCACTGTCATTTGAATCATCATATGCAGAGACTCGGACTGTCGGAAGACAGTGTGTGTCGCCTATGTCTGGAAAATGATGAAACAGCAGAGCATATACTTTGCCTGCCCCGCTGGGGACCGAATCAGGTTCTTAGAGTTCGGCAGATCCTTTGTAGGGAAAAGAGGCTCACTCACTTTAGACCTACCTAGTCAGGACGACTTCTAGCCAGATATAAGGATTAAGGAAAATGACCCTCTTTTCCCTCCTTTGGAAAATTATGGTAATTAAAATATTTTTACTGCATTTTCGCGTTGACCAATAAAATGATACTTTTTTATAATTCTTAGTATTAAATTTCATAATGGATCTCGACTGAAATTTCTGGCCATTACAATTGATTTTATATTAACCAAAAATTTAGAATCTGAAAAATTTTTCAGAGGTGATTTATTACAAGAAACTTTTTATAAATATTCCCTTCAAATTAGAGGTCATGACAGCATATTTTCCGTAAAGATCTTTGAATCGAAAAAATTTCGTTTTCACTCCCTTCTAAGTGGGTGTGTACAATACTCATACCAAGTCATTTAATTCATCATCTCTGATAATGTCTACTACAGTCGTAGATGAAATGTCTGGCCCTTTAGCCTTGAACAGACAACGTGTTACCTCAGGGCTAGTACTAGAGTGCCACCAAGATTTAGCCAAGGCCTTGGTAGATAATAACATTACCCTGAGGTGGATTGAAGGGCACGACAGGAGAAAAGGTAATCGCATTGCCGGCTCTTTAGCCAAGGAAGCGACTGGACTAAGAATTTGAGGACCCAGTGGCACCTACGGCTTGATGACTTCGACAATTGCGGAACTAGCCAAATGTTACACCCATGCTCAATCCCTAAAGAGATGGGATGGAATCAAAGGATACAATCTTGCCCGGATCACCCTGGACGACCCTGGGAAGCTGGCCCTGAAGAAATATCTGTTGATGACCAGGAGAAACTTAGGCTCAACAGTAGGATTTTTGACTGACCACTGTCTACTAAGGAAACACCTCCATACTATGGGGCGAGTGGACACACCTCTATGCAGGATGTGTGAACAGAAAGATGAAACTGCCAGGCATGTCTTATGTGAGTGTCCGGAGCTATTATCAAGAGAGTGTGTGTTCGGCTACACCTGCCGATATACAGGAGATGCCTCCCAGTGACCTGTCCACCTGTCCTGGAAAGGACAGGATGGACGATGACCTAGGAGACTTACTCTTCGGGAGGATGTACAATGGCTCACATGTCGCCTAAGTGCTGTGGGCTTACACTCACCCTCCCTTCTCTATAGAAACAGAGACTCACGATTTATATAAAGTAACAGCTTATGCTAACAGTCTATTGTTCTATCATATACATTGAATGTTTTCTTACATATAAAAAGTGTCGGTATTGTTGAAGTGACATCTGTAAATGATAATATTTGGGAATACTATATCTATATGTTTTGTCGGATTTAGGAACCATCGTATTATTGAATTTCTTCCTGACGTTTCGCCAGTATGCATGGCTAGCTTCTTCAGAGGTCCTGGCCAAATGTCGAGAAGAAATTCTATGATACGACGATAAAGCTTACACAGATATAGTAGACCAATGCCGCGAAAGCAAAACAACCTCTATATCTTTTCGCATTTTTCACGACTGTCATGATATTTCTTGAGTTCATATTTCTTTTAGCAGGTAAGCGGAAGTTTGACGGGGGTCACCAGAACCAGGGGGAGACAAAGCGCCGATACCAGAGCAACTGGGGGAGCCAGCCCCTTACGCAACAGCCGCTGGGGGCAGACATTAATGGTGATCAGCAGACATGGTACCAGGATTCGTATGGCTCCTGGAGTTAAGTGAACAGACATTGCTAGCCCGCAGTGGGACTGAGTGTGAGTGGCCCTGCGTCAAGGAGGGCAATAAACGGGCTAGGCGCACCCTCTAGTAGCTGCTAGTTGTGTGCCAGCCCGGTCAGCCGATGGTGTCCCCAATCCACGTTAACTATTACCTATTCCGCATTCGTTTTTTTTTCTATTCTAATTTTGACTTGTTGTTATTGGTACATTCAAAATTCTTTTGCTGTACGTTTGTTTTTGGAATTTAAATTTGTCAATTAAATTGATTAAGTTATTTACATTACGTTTTAATAAGATGTTGTTTTATTGCCAGAGATTTTTAGGAGAAACAAGTTGAGAGACAATGAAGGAACATTGTTGTACCCTCGATAGATATAAAAGTTAATTTTCCAAATTGAATGTAACAGTTGTTTTACTAAAGGTGCGAGTCAGGTGGAAAGACGTTTCAACACATTTTTGGATTGATTGCGAAGGTACTCTTTGTTGCGTCATCTTGGTTTGGTTGCGACTAAAAATCTTTGTCATTTTGGCACAGTGCGTTCCTTGTTCTGGCGACAACTACAATTAAATCTCGGGGCGCCAATGCCTGTTCGTTGATAGTCTTTTTTATAAAAACAGCTGAGCGGTCTGTTTCCGTTTCACGTTCTATGTTAATTATGTTTTTTTATTATATAAAATGACGAGCTATCTAATAAGTTGATGTGTCACATCACTGCGTCATTTGTTTTCCTTTAGTTTTTTTTATTAGTTTGGAATTCGTTGATACTGACAAGCATGGGTTTGACACTGAGGTGCGTGATAGTCGACTGTTTGGTAATGTTTTGAACAGCCGTCCATCTCGCTGGGCATTGAGGGACTCACTTGGTTCATGTAGTGTACAGCAGAGGCCTCGGGAGGCAGCAACACTGTGACTTTTGAAGATTTATGACTCTTTTGTGTTTCGGTCGGAGTATTTTTCGAATTTGATATTTGTGATTTTCGAGGTTATGAGTTGTTTGAGGTTTCAATTTTTTCCCGTTTCCTAGATTGTTATTTTATGAAGAAAAAATTGAACATTTCAAAGCTGAGAGAATCACCGTGTTGGTTGCGCCTTGTGGTCTGCTGAGTATCTGAAAGATCGTTCCTCATGAACAAGAGTTGAATTTATTATATGTACAATATGATTATATATTTTATTCTTGGTAATGCATTTTTGCATTGTGATGATTGTATTTTAGCAGTAATTTAAGGAGTTTGAAGCATATACTTCTGTTTTCCGGCACAGCCAGTACATTTGTCAAAAATAAACATTTTTTTACAATTGGGATAGGAATGTGAATTAGCAATAGTTCTGGTATTAAATAATCCAAATTATCCAAATTTAAAATTATTGAATATCAATTATACAGTAATATTCGATCGTCCAATGCTGTCCAAACAACGGCAACTTCGTAGCTTATAACTTTTTCCATGTGGTTAAATATGAGACGAATTTTCCTTTCTGTAAATTCATTCACATTAGCTCCGAAAAGGATTACAGCTGAGACACTCATTTGCAATCTTGGATTCAGTATTTACCATATATTATTTTTTGTACTCTAATTTAATATTTTGGTTTTTCATCTGTTTCTTTTGCTTTAGCTTTCCTTGGGTTCTCTCCCTTCTCAATACATCTGTAAGAAAGTTCTGTTAATTATATTACTTAATGATTTTTAGTGTGAAGTAGCTAATCTCTCCGTATTTGTACCATTTATGCCTATAGTAACACATCCGCAATTTTAATAAATAAAAACACAAACCATACTACTGTCGAAATATGGTCGATATTCATGGTCTCCACTTGTACTCGGGTTAAAATTCACTGGTATTAGGCGCAAAATTACATCCGTATAAAGAATTCTGGTTGAGCACGGGTGCTGAACATGAATATGACTAGTGAGATGCATTTTTGAAATTCATCTGTATTGTGTTTCATCGATATGATTTGGTCGAAGCACCTTGCCTGCTTCGGACATATTGTTATGTATATCATCTATCGATAATTATGAGAGGACTGATGATTTATATGTCTCAATAAACAGTTGTATGTGTATTACAATTTTACAATCGCAGGTCTTTCAATTCAAACCCTCAGCAACTTCTTTCAGCTTAACCCTTTGTCTTTCACATTTATTTTCACGTTAGTAATAGTGGCTTCAATGTTTTGGTTGGTCTCCAGGTTTTGCCGTTGTGTTTGGTTACAATTTCCAAATGTTTCGACTGTAACTGCGGCAGTAATCTTCAATGGCGAAGTCGAAGAGATGTATCAACCAGAACTATACTAGATATACAGTCACAAAATAAAAAGGAAAATTGAGGATTTGATCTTCTACTTCCCAATTATATTTTTTTTTACAAAAAATTTGGGAAACTTCCAAAGAAAGGAAGGAAGCAATCAATTTGAAAAAGTTAACTCAATGATAATAATAATATACTTTGTCATTAAGAATTAATCTTGTGGACAAAACTTGTGAAAAATAAATACAAATGTAAATATAGAAATATAAAATGTGAATATAAAAACACCTACAAAAAAGTAAAGTTAGAACATACACTATAGTTCAACGACGAAATTTTGTATCAACATGATTGTGTACAGACTTGTTTGAAAATATTATCAACATTTATATAATAGAAATATAAACATATACAGTGTAGTCCACTAAGTGTGCAACAATTGGGAAACTTTTTTATTATTGATTTTTCAGATAATTTTATTCTTGACAGAAGTTGCTGCATGTTCCAAAACTATACCAAGTGTACCTGAAATGGCTTTATGACAAACACCATACAGGATAGGCCAAAAAATATAAAGTTCGTTCGAGAGTAAAGTACCCTTATTTCAAAAAATATAGAAATATGTTGAAGAGAAAAGTTGCTTAGAATTAAAAGTTATGTTCAGATACGAAGTCATGGCCTGCTATTCAAATTTTTTTTAAGAATTAAAAGTTATGTTCAGATACGAAGTCATGGCCTGCTATTCGAATTTTTTTCTTTTGGAAAGTTTTGAATTACCCCCGTATGATACATATTTTTACTATTTTCATTTAATATGTATTTGAAGTAGCCACAATCAAATCATTTTGGAGTATTCTTTATCAAATTAAAGTGTATTTGTAAAATTTACTTGGATTCGTATTTTTTAACGTGACCGTCAACTTCATATTTGTTGCAACGATATTTAACAGAACTCTAAAATAAATACTCTTTTTAACGAGGCAAATACTTTACTAAGTATAATGTTCATATGAATAAACTGTCAAAATCTATCGCCGATAGCCATAAACAAAATAGAACCAGTTAGCGATAGTACAGAAAAATACAGTTGGTAACTTAACAGGTGCTAACAATAAAAATTATCGAAGCGTCTCTGTATGTCCACCTTCTCTTTCGATGCATCTAATTGTTCGCTCAGTAAATTCGTTTAATGTAGATCGCAACACATTAGCGGGAATATTTCCTCGTAAGAAATAATCTAGAGGTGTAAGGTCTGGAGAACGAGGAGGCCATCGAGGATCGGTATTTCATCCTAACCATTTATTACGAAATGTCCTATTTAGCCACTGAGAAACATTTCTAGTAGAATGGGCAGGATATCCGTCATGTTGGAACCATAACTTTTGCCGTTTTTCTAATACCATATCATCCAAAAACTCTCCTATTTCAGTTTCCAAAAAGTTCAAGTACCTGTCACCATTCAAATTCTCGCGAAAAAAAACTGACCTAGTAATTTATCATTTAATATACCACACCAAACGTATGTTTTCTGATAGTATTGATTTTTGTTGCCAATAATAAAATTTGGGTTGACATCTGACCACTGTCTGCAATTTTGTGACGATAGAACCCCATTTGTTGTAAAAGTAGATTCATCTCCAAACAGAATACATCGATGAAAATCTTGTTGTTCTTCTATTTCACTCTGAATCCACATGGAAAAATCATATCTCAAATCATAGTCTCTTTCTTGAAATGTACAAATGAATGTAGGTTTGTAAGCATGGTACTTGTTTCTTGAGAATATGCTTCACAGAGGTTTTTTATGTCGGTATAATCACTAATTTCTTGTGTGGACCTTCTAGGATTTTCTACTACTGCTTGAAGTAAGTCAAGCTGGTTTTCTTCTGTCCATACAGGTTTCGTACGCTCCGTATTATGTTTATATTCTAGTGAGCCTGTCTGTTTGAAATTCTTTAAAATTCTACTTACACTTGAATAGCAAATTTGTTTATCTGGATGCCGCTCGTTGAAAATATTAGCAGCTTCACGTATTGTTTTATAACCATCTCCACAGATTAAAACTAATTCGGCCTTTTCAGTTAACGTTAATAAGTAAGTAATCTTTATTATAGGATACATCTTAATCTTACAAGACATAATAACTAATTAACAATTTAAATTTCCACAGTGCCAAAAATATTAATTAAATTCAAATATGTATATAGATAATAACAATAATGAAGATAAACTAAATAAAAAGATAANAGTTGTTGAAGAATTTTTATATATTGTTGTATCTATAGGTATACTTATATATAATATTACATAACTAAACACACCCATTGCACCAGACAATCAAACATTTATATCCAAACAAGAATAGAAACAAAAATCTGATATAACCTATATAAATTTAAATTTGCACATTTTGTCACGTAAATTTGTCATTATAGTACTCTTGCAAATTATAATAGGGTCTATCAGCTAAAAATGTTTTTACTCTTATTCTAAACATTTTGTTGGTCAAATTTGCCTGTCTCATATCTGAGGGCAAGTGATTAAACATCTTGATCCCATTGTAATAAATAGAATTCCTGACCAAATTCCTTATAAGAATTGGCAATTTCAACGCCGTGGAACGGGTGCTATAAGAATGTCATGAAGCCTCAAATAGGGAGATATTTTTGTAAATGAGGCAAACCGATTCCAAAATGAACAAAGTGAACATTGTTAAAATCTTTTGCTCAACGAATTTGTCTCTGCGCGAATCACGAAGTTTAATCTTACACATATATCTGATAGCCCGTTTCTGCAGTACTAATACAGACAGAAGTGCTGATGAATTGCATACTCCCCAAAACAGTATTCCATAACGTAGGTGGGATTCAACGAGGGCGTAATACACCGTTCTGGCAGTTTTGATTCCCAAATTTATTGAAGGCACTCTTACTGCATAACATCCAGAACAAATTTTACTTTTAAGTTGTTTGATATGTTCAATAAATTTGATCTTATTGTAAATGTGAATACCTACAAATTTAGATTGGTTCTCGTTCTTGATCACTAATTGTCATCAAAAGCACATCTGAAAGATAAAATGTTTGTTTTAGTGATATTGAAGGATAGCAAATTAGCATCACACCACTCCTTGATTTTTTTCATATCAGTAGATATTGCATTGTGTAAATCAGTTGAGTTTTTGTTGTTCCACAACATCGTCGTGTCATCAGCGAAAAGAGAGAAATTTCCAGAAATGCTCAAATTTGCAACGTCATTGACATATAATAAGAATAAGATGGGTCCTAAAATTGATCCCTGTGGAACACCACACATTTCCTTTTTTTTTTCTGAAAGTCCTGTTGTTCTCACCATTTGATTCCTTCCTGAAAGGTAAGATGTGTGAATGATGCAAAGAAGTAACTTTCAGATACAAACTAGAAAAAAGCGTCCTCTCGAAACTTTCCCAAAAATTAATCTCCTGAAAATGTATTTCTTTCAATTGAAACAAAATTGAAAATATATTTGAAACTTTAATCTCTACTGGTGGAATAAAAATAGGCGATCTTCAACTCGAAGCTTCTTCTAACACTTTACCTAGTTTATATTATAAAGAAGCAATAACTTCAATGGTTCTGATTCAAAAATAATTCACCAATAATATTATGAATGTAGCTGAGAATCGGTGCAGCAGCAGTATCCTATGTTTTTCCTATGAGAATTTATTTAGTGGAAAGTTCTGCTACATGCTTTAAATTGGAATTAATATGCACATACAATATAGAATAGAATAGAATATTTTTATTTCATCACATTAACTACAAAATGTACAATAGTGACAAATCAAACTGACAAACAAGAATAACAACAATTGAACAATAGTTGTGGTTATACACACTGATTACATCTAAAATAGTTATTTTTGGAAATAAAAACATTTAACATATTAAAAGATTAATGTCTCACAATTCAAATATTCGTCGATGGAATAGAAACAGTGCCTTAATAGTAAGTGCTTAACTGTAGCCTTGAAATGGTTATAACTCAGACAGGTAATGTCTGTTGGTATTTTATTGTATAAATTACTAGTACTATGTTGCTGTATCGCTGCTGTTCCTATGTTTTGACAGAATCAGAATCAACGAACTTAGGCGTGCGCAGCGTTATAGAACAGTGCTTTAAAAAAATTGTTCTACATCGCCATCTAATGGCGAGTTACAGAAAAATTGATGGCCTAAAAACCTCTATGAAAAATTACTTATACATGTCAAGTTTCATCACAATCGGTTGAGCGATGTAGAAGTTTATCACTTACCAACCAACCAAAACCAACCAACCAACAAACAAACATCCATTTTTATATATTAGATAAATGTAAGTTGAGTGAATTTCGAGCTGATAGATCCAGTCTAAAAAATTGAGGCCTCAGGTGTGCACCTCTTTGAGTAGGGTAATTATGAAAGTCAGCATTTGTAAGGTACTTAGTATTATTTTTGTGAATCTCTAAAATGTTATAGAGTATGAAAATACATGACAAGAGTAGAATTTTGAATTTTTGAAATAAAGGACGACAGTGATCTCTGTAAGGAACATTGGCTATGATCCGGATTTCTTTTTTTGCATATGAAAGGCTTCAATTGCATGTGAATACTAACCCCATAAAAGTATGCCATGTGTTAGATGGCTGTTAAAAAAGAGAAATGTATATCTGTAATACCATACTTTGACTAAGGGACATTTTCAGCTGTCTTAGAAGGAACAGTTGTGTAGAAAGTTTTTTGTACAGACCAGCAACATGTGCTTACCAATTTAACATGTCATCAGTTTTAAACCCCAATAAATCTACATGTTG